AAAACAGAAAACAAAATGAATAATATATATTTATTAATAATTTATATTAATTAAAATATAATATAAATAAATAAATAAAACAGAAAATAAAATAAATAATATATATTAATTAAAATTTTCTTTAATTAATAATAAAATAAAAAATAATAATCACAAAAAAACACAAAAATTTATAAAACATAAATAATTAAAGACTATTTACAAATGGCATTAGCACATGATAGGGGGTGCATTAACCACCCCTAAAGTGGATTTGAGGTGAAATGAATGTGATGAAAAAGAGGTTGACAGGTGGTGATGGGGTGAGAGAATGGTGATTAGAAAAGAATCAAAATAAAAGGTGGTGGGCCCAGCCGCACGTGGGGAAGGATAAGGCTGCTGCCCGTTTTGACCGCGTTTACCTCATTAAATAATACCCCCCGACAACTTCATTATCCTTTCCATTTCTACCCCTTCTTTTCTTTCTTTATTTTTTTAATACTTAAACCCTTTTTATTAATTTTTAAAATAAATTAACATAATACATTTTTTAATTACTTTATTATAAACCAATATTATCTAATTAATTATAGAATTTTAAAACGGATTAAAAACAGATTTAACTCAGGGTGTTTTTTATGGAACCAAACTCGTGGATTTAACGTCGGGTAAGCAAACAAAAGAGGCACTATTTAATGTGGGCCCATCAGACGTGGCGCAGGTATTTATGGGCCCTACGACTTTCATTTTTTTAAGTTGCAAACACAAAAATATCTAATTAAGGTATGGTTGAATGCATTATGTTTCATTATAACTGGCATATAAATAGTATTAAGCGTCAAGTAAATTGTATTAAAATAAAATATTATAATTTAAAAAATTATATTTAAAAGTTTTGTTTTTTGAAAACATGGAAATGTGATTATTAGATGATATAATAAAACTTTTCGAATAAAAATAAAATACTTTTTTGTTTGGGATTCTTGTCGTAGACACTCGACAATAAGAAGCAACTTTTGAAAATAAGTTTTTTCAAAATACATTTCATTTTGACACAGTTTTTAATTTATAAAAAAAATAAAAGAATAATTATTGGATCAGAGATATAAATGGTTATTATTAATAATAATATATAAATTGAACTATTAAGATTCAATGAATTGAAAAAATTGACAGCTTATAAATGAATGAACAGGTGATTAAGACCATTCAATGGCTCATTAAAAGACATTCAAACATGGTCTCATTGTTATTACTAGTTTTCCATTATTTATAAATATTTTGCAAATTTTAGAGTGTGTTTAAGATTGCTTATAAAAACAACTTATTGATTTATTTCGATGTGACATCGTTAATAAATAATTTTGAATCTTTGGATAAACAGTTTATATCGGTGCCAAACCGATAATAAGAAGTTTTTGAAAAAAGTTAAAACCATTCTAACTTATAAAAAGTTGATAAGAAAAGTTGTTTCAAATAAACAATCCCAAACACCCCCTTAAATTTAAAGATTTCTTTTTTGAACAGAACGATGAAATTTTAAATGATTTCAGTTTTTAAAACAAAGTTTATATGATGACATTTTGTATGGTAAATGTTAGTTGTATGCACCCTTGACAACATGCCATGTGAAAATGTTTAATATTACTGATTTTATTTCGGTCAACACTTATTAAGTCGGTAGAACTTTTCATAATTCCAGATAGGCTCTTTATTATAATAATAACATAAAAATTCCAACACATAAAACAAAGTGAGCTTGATTTTTTTCAAAAACACCAACAAGCACTGCTATTTTTACTATTGTCGTAACCATACGATATATATTCCTTGCCTTTATAATGTCGTTTTGGAACCTATGCATGAATTAACGCATTAGTCTTATAAAGCAATCACCATATATTTCTTTTTTTAAATATTTTAAATTTTAAGCTTACAACTTATTGCATGATCAGTACAAAATTCTCAAATCCACGCCTGAAATAAATAAAATTAACTGATAAACACGTTAAAATACATGATAAACATCGAGTCCTACTAACACGATGCAATATTTGTTTTGCAGCATGTTCTAATTTTTCCAGGTATGGGAAAGTTTTCGTAGATGGTGCAAAATGTCTTTGCGGTCCCCATTGATGTTCAACGACATTTTGAATATTTCTAATCAAGTAACCCCATATTCGTTGCATGAAGTGATATAATCTACAATCTGGACTGCTCTTTACGCAATTTGAAGAAATCAAAACGAATTGATCTTCTATGTTGGCAGCCAACGTTGTAATCATCCAGACATAGTTTTTGACACCAAACCGTTGTTGTTGTTTAGGCTTCGTCACAGTCAAAATGCCTTAACATCTCAAGCACTCTATGGCTTTTAGGAAACTTCGATTATGAATAGATTTTCACCAAGGTTGCGAGCTGCTTGACCACTCGATTTTTTCTACTTTTTTTCTTCTCTTGTTTGGTTGGTTTTATCTGTCTTGTTTGATTTCTACACCTCACAGAATGTAAGTCTCACAGAACCACTAATATTATACATTTATTCTTGTGATCTAATAAAATTGTTTATTTTTAATCATCATTTTTTTTTATTAACCTGGCCTGCTATGCGAGCCGATTAATCTCAGGAGAAACACATGCTTTGCAGATAGCTCGGAGTCACAACATTTAAACCTCCATAGCCATAAGAGAATTTTTATTCCTTCTTCAATATTCGATTTGAACTTGAGACCTCCTGATAATTTTGACCTTTAAAACCAAGCTTAAACCAATTAAGTACCACCTTATGGTTTAAGGGGGGTATTTCTTGTGAATTGATGTTATTAAGGCACTGTTGGACATGATTTCCAAAATCCAAAGTGGAAATTGCGAAAAGTGTGGAAAATAATTGTGATTTGACAAAGAAATAAATGTAATAATGGAGTCAGACCACTTTCAATGCTTAATGGACCTACAAATGACTCATACCATCAACCTCGATTACTTCTAAGTTTATTACCCATTTAGGCCTAATCTTGGCCCAACTGTGTTTCTAAAACATATTACCATTATATTTAATTTCACACACACACACATACATATATATATATATATATATATATAATTTTTAATGACAAATGGTAACTTGTAAGAGATTCATATTTGATCTTTCACTTAGGTTTTGATATTAGTTTATTGTAATGTACAATGCATGTGTGTATTCGTATTGTTGAGTTTTAATGCAATTTGTAACCTTAAAAGCAGCGGAAAAATCAAATATTTTGATTATAATTAGAAAGTTTTGGATACAATGAGACATTTAATTAAATTATAACACATCATAGAGTGTTTAGGGATGTACTTTTTTTGGATCTAGCGAAAAATATGATGCTACATTTAGAAACCGAGTGGGGTTTTCTCTACAGTTGAGCTATACACGAACACACGTAGATCCTCTACCGGGTGCTAGCCCAAAAGAACCCTAATTCTAAAAATGTGTGTTTTGGCTAATAACCAAATTCAGATAATTGAATCATCATATACTGGTTTGGCTTATCACCCTATTTATATTGACAGGTATCTCAAATAGACCACAACTCAAATTTGGTTTAGTGATTATCTGTAATAATTATATAATTCTCTTAAACTTTAATATAATTATATTTACTCATAGATAATACTCTGTAATTATCAAAATTACGTTTTAACACATATTTTATAATTATTTAACCGTCAAACATGATTTTTCTAGGGTTCTTTCAAATGAAAACAAACGTATTCTTTGTGTGCGACCCTATATATTTACATACTTCTCAGCAGTATTCTTGTATGACACGTGTCATGGTCATATAGTAACTTACACGTATATTTCTAAACACTGTTTTTACAACTATGATTTAAATTTTTGTATATTGATTATGAGATTTTATTCTTCATCTGTATCCATTTTGCATTCGTTAATACTATGTTTTAAAAAAACCCTTTTTTATGAAGGAAAAGAAAAAAAAAAGGAAATTAACTGAAAACAAAAAAAATATGTGTTTTTGCAACTAAAAAATGAATAAGAAAGAGAATAAATGATATATATATTTTTTAAAAACTTTCATCTCATATTATTAAAAGTACTTTCAGATATATTAGATTGTGTGTTGAGATCATATGCAGCCAGACTTTCAGATTGTTACTGACAATTTTCCAACCTTAGTTATAAAATATATTTCAATATGATTTTGAACTTTGAACACTTTCCACATGTATCATAAATATTTGTGGATTATATTGAGTAAACCATTGCATTTATTATCGTGTTTTGTTTGTATGTGATGATAATCAATGAACTTATTGTATATATTGGTATGCGATCTAGTTATTTTGTAAGGTAAATACAACGATGTTGACACCAAAATACCAATTTGATTGAAATGCGAAGGGGTGCTCAAAATTGTATCATCTATGTTTTTATGTTAAGTATTACAATTGATTTAAGTCAAGAATCATCTTTAGAGACAGTCTCGAAGAAAGTGGACCAAGACCAGAGCTGCAAACCAAAATATACTCTTATATCATTTTCAAGCATTTTATTTTTATTATTTGTATTTGACATGATTTTATACAGCTTATAGACTGTATTTTGTTAACACTTCTGAAATGTAGATTACAAAAAGAATCATAAATAAACAGTAACATTTTATTCAATTGCTATAAAATGTCTAACAAAAGCGAAATAGCTTCGATAACTATCCTAAACAGTTGGAAATAAAAAGAACATTTTGATTTTTTTAAACAAATAAAACACGATTTATAAAGCAATCATAGTTATTATCATACTCACCATCATTTCTTTAATATCTAAACTACCTTTTTACAAAAAAAAAAAAAAAAAACAAATCAAGAAAATCGTGTGAATCTAAACAGATAAAATCAAATTATTTTGTGATGATGACGATTGATAAATAAGTCATTCAAAATTAAACATTTCCCAAAAAAGAATGTACTAATTGTTGCAATTTCAATGAAACGGAACAGGGGTATGTTTTATAGGCGTTTGATTTACGGAACCATAATATTTAGTCTTCGTGACAATTATACCACATTTTTTTCTTAAAAACCGTAGAAATCAAACTACATTTTGCAAGAAGAAGTTCTACAAAAAAATATCGTGAGTGGAGTTTGATATTCAGAAATCAAATAAGACAGGAAAAGAAATAAAGAAACGACACCAGTCTAATATACATTGAAGGCCGTTAGAGGCGAATATGTCGGGTTACAAACATGTGAAGCTCTTGAGCCATATATCTCATCTATCTACAAACTACTTTAAAGAAGAAATGTAAAAGAATCCATCAATCATGGTAACAAAGAAGCATCACCACACATCTCCTTATGATGTAAAGCCTTGCCTTTTGCTCTTTAAGGATTCCTCCAAGTCTACTTGACACCCTTCTCTTTGATCTTCCCATCATCTTCATTTCGATCCGATGCCTTTTAGTCTCTCGAGATCAAAACCGACCCCAGAAGTCGGTGTTTGAGAACGGGGTTGATTATGATGCTACTTGTGAGAAGAAGAATGAAGGTTGAGATGGGATTAGTGGTGTTCTTGAAGTGGGATTAAGTTGAAGAATAGAATGGGAGAGAAGGGTAGATGGGTTTGTTTATATAGAGGATTATTGAGAAAGGGGTTTTTAAGGGGGTGGGGGTCCATTGCTTATTACTCACTCCACACTTTCTTTTGTGTGGTTCACTTCCACTTGGGCGTGTGCAATTTTATTTTTAATTTTTATTTTAATTTTATATAAAAAAAAATTATATTACTTTTTTCAACATGTTTTATAAGTTTATTATTATTATCATTAATTATATTACTTTTTTCAAGCTAATTTTCATGATAAATTATTTTCCAAAACATTTATTTTGAGAAATCTGACTTTTAAAAGGCTTTTACTAATTTAAGACCATCTTGAACGGCTATTCTATTTTAGAGATTTGAGAATAGAATAGCTGTTTTTTTTAAAATACTATAGTTGTTGAAGATACTCTAAATGACCAATTTTCATACTCTTTCATATTAGATAACCAATTTTCAAATCCTTATTTTGAAAAAGCACATCAAATTTTGGAATTTTACTTTTGATCCTACATTTAGGGGATGTTTGGGATTGTTTATTTAAAACGACTTATGTTTTTTTTTTTAACTGCTTATCAACTTATATAGTAGTAAACTGGAGTTTTATAAAAAGTGTTTGAATTAGCTTGTGGTTGTAACACACCGGATAAGCTGATAAAATAGATAGATATACTCTTTTATTTTCTCATCCAAACACTAAAACCCCTTATTACCGGTACCACACCGGAATAAGTAAATAAGTTAAAAGAAAATAACTCATGAAAAACTCTTTATTACCGATGCCAAACCGGTATAAGCATTTCATTTTTTTTCCATCCAAACAATAAACATTTCTTATTATCAATATCACATTGAAATAAGTTAATAAACACTTTAAATAAGCAATCTCAAACACCCCTTAATTTAATAACATGAATCTGATTATGAGATAATATTAAATAAAAAAAATCGAAAGTTGATTTTTTTTAAAAGATTAAAAACAAGGTTGGTTATATTTATAAATTTATGTTATTATTATTATTAAATTGAACGATATTTCAAAGTCCACAATAATTGTATTAAAATATTCCAAATATAAAAAAAAATCAAATAACTTTCAAAATTATATACGAAATTAAACGTGACAAATTTTTTTTTGCTATACATTATATTTAAAATATATATACTTAAACACAAAATAAAGAATCTATAGACCCGTCATTATTGCTTATATTTTTAAAAAAATATCTATACGAAGATGAAAACTTACAAGAAAAAAAAAATACAAGATTTCTAACAAAATTATTTGGTTTATTATTAAGAAATAGTTAATATTATTTATTTTAAGACAAGATAACATGTATGTACGTGTGTGTATATATATATATATATATGTATATATATATATATATATATATGTATGTAACAATTGAAGGAGTATACATGTCATGTTCATATGATGGTAGGTGTGGGCATCACCCACAAACATGATGGGTCAAGCATGACCTCAATGAGGTAGCATCCACATATAATTTATGAGCCTTCTTCCTCAACTTGTTTATCTTGAGGTTATATATGCATATAATGAATGTAGTGTATACCATCTCTAGGACCCTTTTTTTAATTTTAAAAAATGTCATCGTATCTGAAGCTAAAAGTTAAATAACGTTAAGGATGAATTCGGATTGGTAACTGTTTGGGTAAAATTTAAAGACCAAACCCGATGTATAAACCTTTGTTAAAACCACTTGAACGAGATTTGTACGACTATTGTAGATCATTAAACTATGCGCCTGTTTTTGATTGAGCTACCCCTGAGTGGGTGTTTGGTTTGGAGGATTTGGTGGGGTTGGAACTGGATTTTGTTCTAATTTTAGGTTTGGTTTGGATTTGAAAACCTATGTGTCTCGATAAATTATTGTAACCAACAGATTTAGAAATCCCTTGGAGATGGTTGTCATTTCAAAGATCTCATTCTTATGGATTTCAATTCTTTCCATTGCATTCCCTACCCTGTCTCTTTTGTCAAATATACCATAATCTCTCCATTGTCTCGACATCTTGCCTTCTCCCACTACTAAAAAATTAGGTATTTCCGTCGGAAAATTATCGACGGATTCCAAAAAAGTAAAAAAAAATCAACTTTTAATGAATTCTGCCACAAATCCGTCACTGAATCTTAAAAAATATATAAAAACTTATTTTGATAACTTTTCTGAATGGATTTCCAATGGATTTGTGACGGATTTTTTTACTTATTTATTATTTTTAAAAACCGTCACAATTGGTCTAATCTTTATTATTTAAATTAATCAAGTCAAGAAATTTGGAAAATGTCAAAAAAAAAAAGTTTCCGACGCATTTTTGGCAACCCGATTTGTCGGGAAAAACAAATCCGTCTGAAATGCCACCGCAAATTGTGTTTTGCAGCGGTGGATTTCCCAACCGCTCAATCCATCGGAAGTCCGCCGAAAATTTGGCTTTCTGACGTATTTGGCCGTCGGAAAAACCCCATTTTTTAGTAGTGTCCATTCTCTTGAAGAAAAGCAGAATAACGTTTAAATTTCATTTCAATCTAACAACCAAAACAAGATTTATAAATAATGGAATTCAATCCCATTTCAAATCCTAAAAACCACATACACCATCTTTCCATTAAATCAAAATCCCTAAAAGGCATTTCGTGAAACCAAACACCACGTAAGCGTATTTTCTTTCATTTTGCTAACCAAACAAGTCATAATAATTGAGTCAACAAAACCTGGCATTCTAATTCCATCACATTCTTTTGAAATCTTGCTAACCAAGAGACCCCCCATGCCTTTTGTTATCTTCAGTGAATTATAACCACTGGAATAGGTTATGTTGATCAATAATAGTGTTTGTCGAAGTCATATGTTCACATGATTGGGATATGTGTAGGACGTGTTTACATGATTTAATTTTGTTGGGACAAACCTTTTGGAACACGAGTCATTGTGTGGTCCTTCACAAAACCCTGTTTTTTTTTGTCGTGTGTAATAGTAAGAATTATACAGATAATAGTCATTTCATCTGATATCTTATAATATAAACGACCCCTACTCGTACATGCACATGTTGCTATTCCATCTTTATGCCGTTGCCTTAACCACATAGATCTCGATAGCCTTGACAAGGTTTGTCATTATGTTCAATAATTCCGAATAATTTACATCAAAATTACATTTAAAAGCAAAAAGAAAGAATGTCAAGTATAGAAATGAAATAAAAAGGAGAATTATACGTTGTCAAATTCTTTAACACTATCGATCTCATTTTTAAACTTAAATAATCACTTCTTTACCTTATTTTCAAATTCAATTTTATTATTTTTAACTGTAATTAACTATGATGCATCTGTCAACTTATTCAACATATTCTCTAAAATAGAGAAAATAAAGAAAAAGAGTATGCGAAATTCTTCAAATTTGAGAACTCTTTCAAAATAATTATCGTAACTCCATGATAGATAAATAATTTTTTGTTGTATTTCTATTAATAAGAAACTTTAATACTGAGTGATTATAAAAGAAATAATATTTTATTACATATATAAAATATTTTATTAATTTAATTAATGATATTTAATCTTTAAAATAAATAATTTATGTAATTTTTCTTTGACATATCTGGAGTTTTGATTAATAATTGTGAAGAAATTTTGAAAATTCTAATTGAAGATACTCTTAGGGGTCGTTTACCAAACGCTTATTTGGGTAAGTGAACACCAAGTCATTTTACTTTACCGGATGAATATGGTAAGGATCAGGAATCTTATCCGGTTAGAGCGAGACAAAGACCAAGAGTCTTACCTGATAAGTGAAGGCGACGACTCTTACCACGGTAAGCGCTTACAGGGTAAATTGTTGTATACGATACCGTTTTAGTGGACTAAAATCTTATCCGCTAAGTAAATAATAGTGTTAAATTTACCAGTAAACGCTTATCGAGTAAGTGTTTGATAAACGACCCCTTGTTTGTCATAAATGCTCGTCATTGTATGACTCAAATGATATTAGATGGGTCCCATTCTATTAAATTCACTCCAAAATCTTCCTATCAAGATAAATACAACTATTTTTATTTTAAGGATGGTAAATGTTAAAAATATTAAATCGTTTTAATTTATTTTGATAATAAATTCTTAAACTTAACTTTTGTATATAATTCCTATTTAAGATTAGGGATGCATAAAAACCCGTCTTTTGTTTGGTTATTATGGGCCTGATCTTAATAATTAAAAAAAAGTCCTCTAAGAACCAATTTAGTCCTTATCTGAAAAATGGGACCGATATGAGGTTGACAACCCTAATCGCTTCCGATAAAATCGAATGTTTTTTTTCTCAAAAGGCAGTTGGTCTAACGATATGTGAGTCTTTGACCTTGTAGAACGTCAGGGGTTCAAACCTCATTAAAGGTGATGAAAGTGTGCGAGTTTATTTATTGCAGTTGCGATATATAAATATTACATATACATCAAATAAAAACGAATGTTCTTCATTTAAAAAATGTACAGAAAATTATTTGGATGTTTCCATGGAAGCCACAACGAGTCCGTCAACAAGCTTTAAAAGTAGGTGTTATAAGTAGTGTTTACCATATCCAATTCAATTCTTGACCAAATTGAACCAGGTGTCATCGTATTTCATCGTTTTTTAGAACCAATTAAAGCTAAAAAGATAGGACGACTTAAGACTTGAAGGACAATGTATTGCTAAACGTACTCTTTTATCTACTAATTTATTTCTCACATAATATTAAGACTTACTTTTTACATCCTCGTAATAATTTTACAAAAAAAAGATACACATAACATTACCCATAATAATAATAATAATAAGCTAATTTATGTCGTCTTTTATAAAAAAAAAAATTAATTTTCAGCATATAAATATAATTAATGTTAAATAAATAATTAGAATGGAGCCCTGTTACCCATAGATGTTGGACAACAATTACTGACTCGCATTTGAAAAAGATGGACAGTCAAATCCCAAATACTCTGCCAAAATTCCCA